TTATGTGTCTGATTTCATGAAATGAGAAGACAATATTCTATTCTAAATGGAAAACCAAGTTTAATGTCAATTTGATTACTTAAAAGGCAGTACTTGACAATTGAAATTGGTTGAAATTCCACAAAAAGTCTTGGCTAGTTAGTGTGAAATGTATGCTGGGAAAATAGGTGTCCATTTTTCACATGGTATTTTATGGCATCGGTAAGAAGAGGGATATAGTATAATTTTCGCTGTTCATTTCGGATCAAATGGAATAATTTCCCCATGGGTCAAAGTTTGGATAAAATTAGGTGACACATGTTGACATTGATGTTTAAAAGATCAAAGGTCAAGAGGTTAAAGCTACAAGTAGTGAATGCATAATACACTGCACTCCTGATCAATAAACTTGTCAGAATCCACAGACTAGCTTTTGGTACTTCACAACAAGATATATATGTATCAACATTTTCAAATGTGTTTGTCGTTGTCAAAAACTATATCATGGAAAAATATATTTGGAAATGTTTTAATTTTTTGTGTCTTTTGGAACAAATTTATTGTCAATGAGTGGATTTATTTTTGACTATTTGAATTTTTCTGCCAATCAGGGTAACATAGAAGTGCACGGTAGTTTATCAGTGTTGTTGGATTCCACACTATGTGCCATCACACCACTGGTTGGTTTAACATCACAAGTTAAAGAATTAGATGGATGTATTCAGAAAACACAGGTATGAAAACATTGTCATTACGTAAATGGTTTATAGTGATCATATTCATAACATATTGGAACCAAACTTTTCTGGTAGTGAGTTGGTGGTCATGCCTATGTGTATTTGATATGGGTTCAGTACATGCCAATGTGTTCTTCACATATACAAAATTTGTCCACGCTAAGCAAGTGTGGATATACATGGACATATACAGTGATGAACATAATGATGTAATTAAAGGGTCATTGTATCAAATGTTATTCAATGTAGTTAGTGTAAATACTGACACACCCACTACTCAACATTGAAAGCCAGGTATTTCACATTAGTAAATAATCAGACTTATAATTTCTTTTCAATGTTATTCTGACACTTAAAATGGAGAAAAATCAAGTTTACTGACAGGACCAATGAAGAATTTAGTTATGCATTTCTTGATGATTGTTTCACTCTGAGATCAATTCTAAAACATTGTTGGGCTCCTAGGACTACTATACAACGCATTTGATGATCTGAATTCATGTTAATTGCTGGAAATATGTACAGACATTCAATTTTCAGTACTGTTCATCACGTTCAAATTTTGATGATCATTTCAGTTTTCTATTAAGATTGCTTGTTCAATTTTCTAATGTTTTTTTGAAAATGATTCCACTATGTGTGGTGGATTCACAATGTGCCTCAAAATTTTGTTTGTAATTTCCTGCAACTCCTCAAATATTTTCCACATTTCAACACATCACCATGCAATTGAATACTTGTGTACATGTATCATGTTACATGGACCCAATAGATCTATATTAATGGTTATGAAGTGCAAATTTAAAGTTTATCAAGACAACAACTTCATGAGAATACTTCACAACCGTAGATCCCATACCTCAAGTATTAGAGAGACACCCTCTGTTCAGTACAATAAAAAAAGACATTTGTGATAAAGGACAGTCAGTATTAATAAAATTGTCAATTCCTCTGCACTGGACTCACTACAGGAAAATACAGTACCTGATCATCCTCGATCATCTACTGCAGTGTGTGATAATTATGCGATATCACTGAACGTCATGTGTGTGTAATAACGAAACTGTACATGCCTCCTTACTTACCCTTGCTTCTAACACCAGTAATTGACGGAATCTTATTGTTGATACATGTTTATTTTCCCGTACTAGAAGTACCCAGTATATATAGCTTTTGTGACAAAAATTAATTTGCATGATAAAGCTTGTCAATCGCAGTATTGTTACAGTAGGTTCCTTTATTTTCATTCGGAATTTAATTTTCACAACTTTTGGGCTGAAGGAAATGAATCAATAAAATTAAGCTCTACGAAACATCCCTTCCCTGTTGTCTTGCTTCAGAATGTCAAAACCATGAAGAAAGTTACAATCAATGTGACTAGGATTGTTTTCAGCTGAAATAGAGGAATCCACTGTGCCTGTGTGTTATAGTGTTTTGTTGATTTCCTTCCCCGGTACCTTGCAGTAATTTGCAATTATAGATGAGAGCCTGACGAGAAGATGTACAGTTAATTAATACATCACCATGGTTACACTGTAACTGGGATCAAATATGTCCTGTGTGCATTGATTGATTGAGTTTGTTAAAGGGTCGGTGCTAGGCAGTTAATAGCCTGGATACCCTGTTACATTGTAGATGCGTTTCCTGTTGCTCTGTGTATTTTGAATGCGTTGATAGTGACCATTCATTCATTTCCGAGCTGCTTGAAATAAATCAGTGCTGTGTGCTCAGTAGTTTTCACAGTTCCTGTCACTCTTAGATTCACGATGTTCTTTTCAAAGTCACCCTTCCTAATAAGTATTCAGTCCTGCTTCTACTGTTACTGTAAAATACTTTATTTTCACTTGGGATTAGCTTTCGCTGTTTTCGCTGAAGGAATGATTCAGTGAAAATAAAATCCAGCAAATATACCTTTTGCTCTATATTTTACATTCAACTCGTCGAAAATCAGTGAAAATAAATTCCATGCAATAGCCAAAAAGTCCTTTCAGCCAAAAATTAATTCCAGGTAAAATAAAGTATTTTACAGTTTATAGATTCATACACTCACATAAAATAAAATGCATCCTGGTAATTTCTGGGTGTATTGACATACTGGTATATAAAAACTAACATTTTTGCCATGTTTAATCAAAACTTTAAGGCAATTTTGGTTGAAAAATACATAATAAATTTTTATATTGATGGTGAAATTTGTATCCCCAGAAAGAACCAGAATCTGACTCATGCACTAGGCCAATTTAATTTTTGTTGATTTGTAATTAAGAATGTATAAATCCATGAAATCTATTCTAACCTACTGTCTTCACCAATCAAACCAACAAAAACTGTTTGCATGTAACATATTGCAAAACAGTGCAAGCATTTTACAAACATATCACAACAAACTGTTTTGTTTTTTTTGTTAACTGCAGTAATACTTCAATCAATGCCAATTTTGCTTTTTGCATGAAAACCATATACCGGTAATAATTTTACACATTGCTGTTTACAGGTTTCTACTCTTGATAACATTGCGTACATCATGCCTGGACTGTAGTCAGCAACATTGGACTATTCTTCAAACCGATGTTAGTTACAACTATCTCGTGATAAAACTGATGACAGTGCCAAGAAAGCGAAGCAGTATTGTGTGATGCACTGGTGTACCCAAAAAAAAAAACAGCGGTTTGTTTTTCTATCCGCTCGTCAATCATATTAAACTTTGTGACACTGCCTGAATGTTGTACACATGTGTTTTCAGTGACTAAATATAGAAATATACAATGTAGCGTATATTAACTCATTTTTAATAATAAAACGAATTCTGGGATTTAGGAGAGTACATTTAGCCGCTGGGCACATCTTGGTCTATTGTTTCAGGAGTACCGGGGTACTTTCATAATGACTACCACAGTAGTGTTTATTTATTATTCCATTGAAGGAAATAGATGTACGTACATTCACGTAACCAATACTTAAAAAAATTAAATGGATTAATTATTTTAAATGACAGTTTTTATGGAATCAACATTTTTACTTTAAAATGTTATTTTTTTAGTAATACAAATTATTTCTGGTTGGAAATTCGGGGTTTGTTCAGTGAATTTTGTAAATAAATCGAAATATACCTACCAATTGTTGTTTGCTTCTTCTAACTCGATTTATATTGTTTGTTTCATTTGACATTCAGTAACAAAACATGTTTGAGATGCCATATTTGCTTTATTAGAAAAATGCATCTTTAATAGAAGTGCTCATAAATGAATTATTATTTGAAAGCTTACCATGACTTAACATGACTTATTATTATACATCTGTCATAAGTTACAGCGTGCCGTAATTTTGCCGTATTTTAAGGGGTATTTTCATCCTACCATATTAGGAAATGCGAATTCCAAATATGGAATGATTACACGTGTAAGCGTCCTCTAATAAAAACAAACATGGCTGCCACCATATTTTTGACCGGACTCCACACAAAGAAGTTCGCTGATTCTGTTCTAAACATTTTGAATTTCGGCATTCCCATGGTGTATCCTTGGAAGGAAAAGATGTATAATAATAAGGTTATTACAAGAATACCTCAAAGTATGCACTCAGACAGTACGCCGCGCATTGACCTCTGCTGTGCGTCGATTGACATTCCAGCTGTACTGTCTTTGTGCATACTTTGAGGTATCCTCGTAATAACCTTATATTATCACCATAGACACACTGATGTATTATGCTCAAATTGGAAATCATAATAAAAACCTTTGCTGTATTTGATCTTAAAATACTGTAAAATACTTTATTTTAGCTGGAATTAATATTCACTGAAAAGGTTTTTTTGCTGTTTTGTATTGAATTTTTTTACTTCCCTGATTTTTGATGAGTTGAATGTTTAAATATAGAAAACAAGGTATATTCGTTTGACTTATTTTCACTGAATCATCACTTCAACGAAAATAGCAAAAATAAATTCCAAGCAGAAATAAAGTATTTGAAATATACATGTACATGTAGAAAACAAGGTACCGTATATTCGTTGAATTTTATTTTCCCTGAATCATCACTTCAACGAAAATAGCAAAAATAAATTCCAAGCGGAAATAAAGTATTTTACAGTACCCGGTATGTGAATTTCAAAGGTGTTCAAAATGAGTAATACTATTGATTCAGTGTCCATTAAATGACATTTTGGGTTTAACTGGTCACTGGTATCCTAGTGGTTGTCACGTCAGAATCATGACCGGTAGACCCAAGTTCAAATCCTATGGCTGAGATACATTCACTAACAAATGCGACTTAGGGGCAACCTTGGTTAAGGTCCATAGGTGCTTGTGTTCGTCGAGCCTGGTTGACGCCAGCCAGGATAGCGCATTAAAATTGCCATTTGATAGAGAGATGGCCACACAGCCTTGTCATGTATTCCCTAACATGAAATGACTTCTGTGACAAAATGCACTATGTGTCAGCACTTGCAATTTGCACATACAAAAAAAAGTCAGGAGTAACAACAGTGACATTCAATGTCCGAGACTGTCGCCTGGCACAACAAAATTTGCCTGTTAGTAAGGGAATACCCAGATAAAAATCTAAACTCAATGCCACATTACAGAGTCTGTTGAGAATTAATAACACTGCAGTATAGAAACAAGTCATCGTTTCAAAGTGATCTCTTTTAAGCTAAACTTCAGACTTCCCAATTAAAAAGGGTTGATTATGAAAGATTTCATGCAATAGACCATTTTCCAATAGACCACTGCGAGAATCACGCGTTATGCGTGAAATCGAACGTAAAAACAGGACAAACAAAGGTCATAGCGTCGTAGTCGCATCAAACATCACGTGGGATTCGACAAACGCGAAAGTATTTTGGAGGACATTTCCATGCTTAATAATGTGCTGTCCACATTTGATGATAGGCAATTTCGATTAAGTGAGGGTATTCGGAAGCAATATTCCTCTGTCGAAGATCGGCCGGTCAATGTAAGCTACGAAATAAAGAAATTCTAGTTCAAAATCAAATCGGCAGACGTTCGACGCGCGTCTTTCATGCATCTCACGAGATCTCGCAATTGTTCGGAAAATCACCTATTGCGGAAGAAAAAAAAGAATTTAAATGTGACAATTGAAGTTGGATGATGATGGTTCCGGTGAGTTACATCAGTGGTTTTACTGTTCTTGCTGGTTACATGATGGCCAATACAAGACATTCATGTGTTTACTGTAAGAGGTACATTATTTGGGGTTTGCAACGCGCATAGTACTGTATTGGGGACATCATGCCAAGATCCCATTCAAGTCTCATCTCGTAGATAGCGAGACTGATGCTACTACCTTCTGACATGCATAGGCGGTTTGTAATAAAACAATAAAACATGTATTACCACATTCATAGTGAAAAAATGTTATACATCGAAAATGTACAGAAAATCTAGTTATCGTAATCCGGCATATCATGAGCAGCGATTTTGATCCACCTGGACATCCCAGTATCCTAGTTACCTCGGGCATGCGCATTCGCATTTTTCTGAGTTGGAACGCTTATGCGAGAGCAAAATTGAAACGGGATCTTGGTATCATGTCACCGTAGTTGCAAACCCCAAGTAATGTACCTCTTACTATCCATGCCTGACATTATACAAACTGACACCAGTTTTTTTGTGCATTTGCGTTGAATGAGATTTATCAAGGCATGTCTGAGAGTTGGCCCAGGATTTGTTAAAACAAAATATTTTGTAGTCGATCTGGGAAAATTAATGCTGTTCATCAAGAATTTATGTTTAAAGGACATACCAAGTTTAAATGAACTATGTCCATGCACAACTGATATCTGGTGAATTTAATGAATTGCTGATACTAAAATGGCCGCCAGTTGATCATTTTGAATTGGATTATAGAACAACTGAATGTGCTTATGTATTGTATGATATGTGTTTAGAATGTAAGATGTCTAAGATACATGTGTGAACAGATGCACAGATGCAGTGAGGTAAAATTAAGTTCCCAAGGACTAATGAAAACACTGCTGCAGAGAAGAATTTTCCAGAAGATGCTGTATCCAAGATGGCTGTACTTCACGTCAACAAATATATATACATGCAGTGGCGAAATTAACTGTCTAACAAGAGAGAATAATAAGTAATTTTCCATTCACAGAGAGATATTGCATGAAAGCCATAGTCGGAACTCAAATTTCTTTATAGCTCAATGTCGAAAAGTTTATCTTTGAGAGGGAAAATATTGCATTGAGATAGCCTTACTACATCAAAATTGACCCTCATCAAATGTGTACAACAGAAGTGTGAAAATATCCCAAAATACTATTATGTTGATCCAATCCCATGTGATGTTTTAACAACAGTGATCTTTCTTTGTCCTGTTTTGCCATTCAATTTCACTCATAACACAAGAAAATAGTGTATTACTGGTATGTACACAATTTTTTATTAGAATTTGTTTCATGAGCAAAACATTAAAAGAATTTTTTTTTTAATGAACTAAACTAAGCTGTACAGTATGCTACTGTTGCCTCTGCCATCTCATGGAAACTTGCAGCATGAATTCATTATTCAACTTGCTGCATACAGATGTGGTTGTTTTTTTACAAAATGGAATTGTCTTGCATCTAAGCAGGCCGAGTGGATGTGACATTGTCATATTACAGACTGGTTTACATAATATACAAATTATAATGTCACTTTAATATTCATGTTCTTTTTCGACAATAGTTGATACAAATATAGAGTAGCACACACAGGTATATAATTTACATTTTTATTTCACACAGATCAATAAATCTGCATGTATTCTATTTCATTACAGCAATAAAATAGTATATGCTTAGATTGAAATGAGTTGTACTGGTATAATTCACATAAACTATATCCTTCTCATTGTAAGGTCATATTGACATCAAGCATGACAGCACATTGTCCATCAGCACCACAACCTCACCCCCCCCCCCCTTTCGCATGTTACAATCTTTGTGATCATTTTCGCTTCTCATTTGATTTGAAGTTTAATTTTCATTCACTGGCATTTATGAATTCTCACAGATTCATTGTTGTGGGTTATGATAACTTAGAACTGGCGTATTGGACTTAAATGGCGGTGGTCATCACATAGCGTGTGTTTGAATTTTAAGTAAACAAACATTGTGTATTAATGCTACGCATATTGAATCTGGCACAGCGCAACGACCACCAACCTTAAAAGATACAATATAGACGAGAAAATGTAATTTTTAGTATTGTTGTTTGATACTGTACCATGTTTGCATCATGTTTGAAAAACTGAAGTGTTTCTGTCTATTAAAGTAGACCAATTACTGGTTAACAAATCACGAAATATAAACCCAATCAATACGATTTTTGACGGCTTTATCATCTACATGAATCAGATGATACAATTTGAAAGCTCTACCCCTTGTGACCTACAGTATAAACTGTGAAACTTAAAACAACAGAACAACGATGAATTGGCATCCAAGATGGCATAAACAAAATTAATTAATCAGTTATCACAAATCAATAAATTGCACAAAACATTACTGGGATCATCATCAATAATGGCATAGAAATTCACGAAAATATACAAAATAATATCAGTAATGAACTATAAACAAATCTAGGAATAAATTACATAATCATTAACATGGCAGGTTGGTTAATGATGATATAAGGCAGTGATTAGACAGTGGGTAAATATATACATAGTGTGGTTTTATTTATATAAATTATATCACGTTGTTAGGGCCCCTCCCCTTAATGCAACTATAATAGCTGATTAGTTTATTTGTTCATTCAAGCTGTTGTCATAAATTTACTGAAAATTTAAAATATTGTTTCATTCAATAACAGATGCTACCGTAAATTGACAAAATCTCAGCTTTCATCATGTGGTCTAATCTTGGCCTACAAGTATGGCATTTTCTAGCTGTCTAGGCATGTCTACATCCTATATACATTTCACAGCCTTCCTTCCTGGTCATCAAGTCACTATTTGTTATGAAATTCGGGACCATATACGAGTAATATTGTAAAATATTTAGCCAAATTTATTTTTGATTCAACCACTTGATAGTGGGAGCCCTGCATTTTACCCAGTGTGTGTTTATTGCATGACACATAAACCTGAAAAATCTGATTGGCATCGTAATACGAGCGTACAGTGTACCAATGGTTAAAGTTAAAATTTGTTATTATGCTGGCAAGAATTTTGACGAGAAAATTTAATAAAATAGTAAATAATCCACATACAACATGATGAACCATTAATTATTTGAGTTAATATAAAAATAATATTGAAAAAGAATAAATTGTTTTTTTTTTATTAAAATAGCCTTGATTGAAAAACAATCCTTTCTGACATAGTTCTGAGCACACCAGTAAACACTGTATTTTGAAATGGAATAATTTCAATCATTTCCATGTCACTATGTATTATTCAGTGATTCAGTGTACCTGGATTATCTTATTGTAGCAAGGAATAATAGGAGTTGTTCATTACAGCTGACTCACAGCCATTGAGTGACTCACAAATTTCATATATACTAACAATGATTTTTACATGTGTTGTGTATTCGGCACCTACCGGTATCTCAACATGATGCAATGATTAAATGTGTACCAGTAACTACAATACTCAACAAAAATTGATTCTAAATATAACTTTTCAAGTTTTTATGGTACCAGTAACTCACAAAGTAGCAAATTTAACACAGAGGCAAGTTATCTCTCTTTTATAAAAAGAAAGGTGGCATTTAAAGCAATATTAAAAAATAAATAATATTGATATAAACAGTGTAGGTGAGATTTGTCAGCTACAGTTTAATCCTCCTGCAATGGCGTGATAATAATCTTATTTGGTATATAGAACCGATTCATGATATTGAAGTGAACACTGAACTGTCAAAAATGTTTCAGAACCAGACTGAAAACCAATAACGAGAAGACTGCGGATTATTCAATGAGTGAACATTCGGCTTCAGAACTGACACGACTTAGTTTGACTTTTTGTATCATTCTGAGAATCAGAGTGCGTATTATTATTCGCAGTCTGAAAATACACATCAATTATATCACCGTCTTTCATTCCATAGAAATCCGCGTTGTGTTCGTAAAACACCAACTCCCCTTCATGCATGAACCGTAAAGCATGCAGCTTGTGTCCAGTACGGAGACAGTACTCTTTGAAAATTGCCTTTAATTGTGTTTTACGGCTCAGTTTATAGCAAAATAATTCACCATCCGGCGAGCTGACGAATACTGTAACGTTTCCTGATTTTTTGGCTTTCTTGTTGAGCGGTAAATCAATGTCCTTGCTGGAAGAAAATATACAATACAACAATTAATATAATTGGGATGATTTGTCTTGCGAGTGTACTTCACTTTCATAAGGTTAAGGTAAACAATAATAACACAATCTGCACAATACTACACTAGGCATGAGATCAATCGAGAGTAAAAGTTTTATAAACAATACACTAGAAAATAAAAGATCAGTAGAATTGAATACACTTGTGAGCAAACTTTTTCAACGCGAAAGTAAACTTTCATTATGTCTTACCAAAATAAACTTTTTCAATTACTGTGGAATACTTTATTTTCGCTGGAATTAATTTTCGCTGAAAAGGCTTTTTGGGTGTTTTGTATGGAATTTATTTTCACTGATTTTTGATGAGCTTAATGTGAAATATAGGAAAAAATGTATATTCGCTGGATTTTATTTTCACGGAATCATCCCTTCAGCGAAAATAGCGAAAATAAATTCCAAGTGAAAATAAAGTATTCTACAGTACTTTGATTAAGGCAATTAAAAATTTTGTCTAAAATTAAAAATGTACAAAATATATGAAGTTTTTTGTAGTAAATAGTTTCAAAAAGCAATAGGGAAAGATAGACTAAATGTGAAAATGAAAACCGCAAATGAAATTATTAACAACATTTTCCATGTGTTAAGTTTATTTTCTGAGAAGGTGACAAAGACTGATTTGATGATCAAGATTAAGACCAAGTTTCTTTGACAACAACAATCAATGAAAGGAAGCATTGTCTGACTGTATAGACAAACTCTACACCCTGTTATCACTACAACTTAATTAAGACAAAGACTGCCTACATAAGGCACACGCCATGCTGGTGCAAAACTGCTAACGCATCCACACAATATGTAAATTATGTCTAGCATCATCAATACAAGTCTGATTTTTTTATGACAAGTTATTGTTTCCCACACAACAGGGGATAGATTACAGAAGTGTGTCAGCTGTCTTGTCTTCCAGTGTTTTTTGGCTGGGTAAACTATGTGCTATACTGCTAATATACCATTGTTTCATCAAACTTGAATTGAGAATTTCGGGAACCACCTGTTGCGCAGGAATTTTACAGCATGAGCACCATTTGTTAAATAATTCTACATAATGTTTATTTATATACTATGAGTAAAGTTTCTGCTCAGGGGCTATGCTGTCATCAGAATCAGAGTCATAAATTGAGAGTATTAAATTAATTTCCTAATATTGTTAACATCAGATTTCTCTCGCCCTAATGATCAATGCAAGTGACTTATTTTCTAAAACAAAATCTAAAATAAAATAATAAATAATTTTGGTTGCTAATTATAGTTTCTCAAATAATAATGTGGACATAGATGTGGATTTAAATTTAGAGAGAAATAACCTACATAATATATTTACAGCCACTGTCCATAAGTACGATAATGTATTTCATCATCATCGAAATCACCAGGATTCAGGGAAGTGGGATGGTAATCACTATAGAATGTTCCATTTGATATTAAGGTCAACACTGACCTTGTCATGTCAGACCTTGTCCTATCAGATCCACTGTCGATACTACATGTGGCTTTTCTGCTGGAGCTACACGTGCTGCCTGAAATGTCGTCTCATAACCGCCTTCACTATCAGCGTGGGACCTCTTCATAGCTGATCGTCCAGATTTATCTAAATGACATACAACTACATGTAGGAAAAAGAATTATATTTAAAATTAGTATTCAATAAGGAAATGAAAGATGGTATCATTGACAAACCACTAGTGAATAAATTGAAAATAAATTACAATGTAAAACAATAACAAAATACAGTATGATCAGCATAAATTATTTGTTGGGTTTTAATTTCACTATATTGACTAATAAGTAAAATGTGTTAAATTAAATCTACATGAACATGTAAAATAAAAATAGAACTTATCGGTTCACTGGCAAATTCATAAACTTAAAAACCAGTGAATATGCTTAAATTATCAAAATAGTGAAATTAAATGTCAGTGAAAATAAATGGTTTTACAGTAGATTTAATTTAACATTCACGCAATGTCATTGATGTATTTGGTATCGTAACTCCATGAATGTATACTTTTTTATAATTTATATATGACATATTAGTGCATACAGCATTAGGAACCCATAATAAATAACTGAATGTACTCCATAATATATAGAAAGCTCGGTGAATATTTTGTGGACGAAAAAATTGAACGAATACACCCAACTGTGTTATCTGGGTGTAGCCACAGACCAGAATTTGGAATCAGGAAATCATTGGGGCATACATAATATAGAAGTCAAGTGTGTTTATCATATCGTACCTTCAATTTCGTAAAATTCGCTCTGTTCTATGAGCAATGGGTAATATTCTGTCCAATCCATCTGACATTGCACAGGGAATTTTTTCCGTCTACGTCCATTCGTTCGGAATAAACTAAATTTAAGACTTCTATGTTCGACCTTCATAACGCCATGTTTGATGGCACTGGATTCGATCCGCCTCGTCAACATCTGTTTAAAATCTTTAAATTTCGAACAGTCCATAGTTTTATCACATGGCAAACATATCATGAAGTTCCAAGATTTGTAGACATCTTTTACACCACTTTTCATCAGTTTTGCAAGACAGTCGATCACAACTTTTGTCGTTTCTGCTCCATTCCGATTTGAATCCTCCGCCATTGTTGTTCAAAATGAGAATTGACCGTGGCTTGACCCCTCTCGTCCTTTATCGGCCTTTTTTACGATCTTGAGATTTCATGCAATTTTGATAAACCAACTTCAAGCTGTCAGGAAAGAAACTGGTATATAAAGTAATTAATTTAGCTGAACGAGGAGTAGCCCCACTATACACGCAAAGAAGTGTGAATTACCGTGTGATATTAAAATGTTCTGGTTCGAGGATAATTTGAAAATGGCGCCTTCACCGCTCGACGAATCAAATTTTGTGTTACAAGAAGCATGCGTCAAAACATGCTAAATAGGATTTCAGAAGGTGTGCTGGTAGCGAACGAACGTGCTTGAGTGAACAGTTGTTATTATCGACGTAAATTCGTAGCTTATCGACATTACGTTTCTTGTTACAGGTAAGCATTTCTTACATTAGAATGAATGGTGTATCTGAATAACTCCTGTTTGGAAACAAAATTTGTTTTTAAAATTCGTCGGTAACCGGCGACCGGGAAAGAATTTTTGAAAAGCAACTTCCGCAGGTGAGGTTGTAATAGTAACAAAACAATTTGAAGAAGTATCTCATTTTTTTTAATCAAAATTCTCCAGGTTATTCTTACCATATTTTTATTCGACCATTCTTTTTGATGGATAATACGTTGCGTCACAGAGAAAAATCGTCAGCTGTCAACTTGAATCGTGCATCCCCCGCACAGCTAGCGTTGACGTTTCCGCGGTTCGTTGATTCACAACAAAACAACAAGAAGCCATATCTTTGTAAAATAATCAAGCCAATTTTCCAAATGTTTATTAGTACTCGATCCATAAAAACATCATATAATTTGGTTTCAACATTGCCTGTTTTGAGTCTATAAATAAGTCTTACAGAATAGCGACAATAGCTGTTCACTTAACTAGTCTAGGTCTTGTCCTAACAAGCAACATAATATATAGAAATGCGAAAAAAAGATCAATTAAGTCAACTGTTTTATCGATACAGGTAAGTTTGAATTTGATGACAATCGAGTGCATCAACTGTTTATTTCATAAGAAATATCCCCATTTTGTTTTGTAAAAAACTAAATCCGATTGCATAAATGACTAAGTGCAAGGATGCATAGTATTTTAAGGTACAGGCATCTTAAGATTAGTAGCTTAAGCAGCACAGTACACTGTGGCATCAACATCAGCTACTGGGTATATGTCTGTGGATATTTTTGCTGTAACGTCTTTAGTATTTTGCGCTATGGTCATCTGGCTATTAGCCAGGAATTTGCAACTGCCAGTCCAAAACAATTCAACTTCATGAAAAGTTAGATGGTTTTGTATGTATTTTGGTAAAATTATCAAAGAACAATAGAAAAAGTTGCCAGTTCAAAATCAAAGTTGCCAGTCCGTTTGGTGGGTGGACTGGTGGCTGGCTAACACCCTGATGGTCATGGAGAACCTTATTATTTTTATACATGTTAGTAAAAATTCCCAGTCTCAATCATACAAGTTCTGTAAAACCAAATAGTTTCACTCAAATTTAATTTTAATTCTGTGAAGTTCTGAGCAATTTTACTGGGTTTTTAAGTTAACTAACTTAGCAGGGAAACAGCAAGTTATTTTACATATTAACATTGATTCAATTTTAACAGCAGATTTTACTTGTAGTGAAAATAACAAAATTAATGTGTTTATAATATATGGTATGGTGTATAAATCATGGTACATGGTGCCTCGTCAAAATTGTGGGGCTTTCCTCAAATTCATTGCTGTAACAGTTGTGAAACTCTCTCTGAATATACATGTATCAAACCATCCTGGTAATCTCCTGAAAATGCATTTTTCGTAATAACAAATTGTACATACCTTACTTTCTTGATGAATAAACTTCACAATGACCTTAATACTGTGAGGGAAAAAACTTGCACTCAGATAGCCTGGCATGAAGAAAATGCTCCTAAAGTCCAAATTTGGGAACTAGGCAACAGATTACCATGAATCCACATGGCAGCACATTTTGTATAGACAAAACCTCATGGTATTTTTTTTTTATAATTTTGAATTACGGTACATGTCTTGGCATTAGGTTTTAGGGGACAGATGTGGGATACGGCATAAACATAAAATGTAGTCTATATTGTGAACATTCAGTGTTCCATTCCTTCCCCTAACACTAATTTGTAATGCGCGTCGTGGATTGCACAAACAACAAAACAAGTATATTTTTTTTTTTTTTATAAATGTTTTTGTGCCAGACGACAGTTCCAGACATTGAATGTTACTGTTGTCTCTCCTGACTTGTTTTTTTTTATTGTAAGTGCAAATTGCAAGTGCTAGTGCTGACACATAGTGCATTTTGCTACAAAAGTCATTTTCTTTTTGGGACTACATGACAGGGCTGTGTGGCCATCTCCACACAGATGGCAATTTTAATGCGCTATCCTGGCGTCAACCAGGCCCGGTCGAACACAAGCACCTGCAGACATTAACCAAGGTTCCCCCAAAGTCGCATTCGTTAGTGAATGAATCTCGGCCAGTGGAATTGGCCTTTCCAATTGAGTCTGTGGCACACTCACCCAGGGTAGGGGTTGACCCTTTGATGTTCAGCCTCAGGTAGGATTTGAACTCGGGTCTACCGACCACCACTATGCTACCAACAAAACAAGTAATTACACACATTCTTATTGTAAAAGGGCAGAAAAAGTTTCAACCATGTCGCCATTTTGCATTCAACACAATCAAAGATAAATGTTGAAAGTTAGCTTGGTAATGTTATTTTATTGATAAATAGTTGATATTGTACAATATTTCTGTCCCAGGTGAAGTTTATTCGTTAAAGTATTTGGTATCTACTGATTTTATCGCTAAAATTGTTTTTTCTAGAAATTATTATGCACACCAATGCCCTTCATTATTTTTGAAATTTGCATCTGTCACTACAACATAAAATTATGAATTGCTGTATCAAATCTATAGATATTCTGTCATGCATTTATAATGTAGAACATACCATGTGGACTTTACCTCAGTGGTAAACAAAGACACTTACTCCCTAGAATCCTGTAGGTGTGTACACATGTGTGTTTATGTATGGGCTGGGCTTGTTTTTGTTCAAGTTTTCCCTTCCCTGGTGACTCAATTGCTGTGGCACATGCTCTGTATATCGGTTCTTACATTAATTAAGTACAAAATCAATACATAGCCAGATAGTGTGAAAGAAATATTATTAACTTGTTTAACAATAATTAACTACATGTAATAGTATATCGTAGTTACTGTCATTCTGTTTAATAGACCATTTTAGTGTCGTAAAGTATATCATCAAATCTGCCTGTTTTGCTTGTTGTGTTCATGTTGTAATCGCTAACTATAATAGTCTACATTATTATCTATCATACCATGACTTTGGTAGGTATGTGTTAAATTTAAAGATCTGTGTAAGTGTAATCGCTCTGCACAATTTTGTGTATGGATAAACTGATAACCAATGCATCATAAAACAAGTGTTGATAACACAATCAAACAGAATATCATGTGCACCAGAAATCCACGAATTGTCAATTAATCTAATATCACAATATTTAAAAGTACCTGCTTTTAATACCGGTAATGCAAGGTGTTGAACAATTCAATATGACCCATTCTATGAACATTTTAAAAAGTCAACTTCATTCCTCCATCACACAAAATAAAATTAGTGCAGTTTTATATGTTGTAATCACTTAGACCCATAAACAACGTATTTGTGTTTCTGGTCGCCTCACTTTGTTTATGTTTAGCTCTGCACATAATTTTTTTTGATATCACGAGTTTAATTAATGACTATTTCAGAATAAACTAAAAAGCTACCCATGTGTGTCAGTTTTAGAAAACAAGAAACCTGACTAGAAACTCTTTTTCTTTCATAATAAGCCTGCACATTTACGATTTTGCTATGTATAAATATGCACTCTACTTTAGTTTTATTTATATTCTCAAACTCAGTTATTAATCATGTAATTAATTTTTTTCTAAGAAATATAAATTTCACTATCCACATTGTTGTAAAAAACAAAAAAAACAATTTAATTCAGCTGGAACCCCCTGTGAGTGGCAGGTATTCACCATTTACAGCGGGAATGATATCATTATTATTGACTCTGTTGCCATAGCGCGTTACTCATCATGATGAGTATTGAGCACTATGCCCAGCTGGTGTCTTGTCCACATTCATACTTTGTTTAACTCTGTAATGTAACTGTTTTTAGCTGTAATTCTGATTAGAGTAATGACACTATAATTGAATACATATATGCTGCTGGTACTCAAGTTTATTTTTTAGTGTAAAATTAAACTCTACATACAATTTTACTATATAATTGACAATGTATTTTTTTTTCTTTTCTATGTATGACAATAATGAGAAAATTTCAGCTATAGGCGTATTTGTCCCACCCATAAGTTTTACCGGTATGATGCTTTACTCATCAGTCTATTTTTATTTTTCCTTCGACCAATCTCAACTTGACAGAATATTTCAGTGCTATTTTTAGTTAAATATAAAAGAGTTGGTTTGTTTAGTGATGTAACTAGTCTTTAATGTATTTTCTATCAGTTTGTCCATTACATTGGAATAACATGTCAACCAGAAAATGTCAATTGTATTGTATTGTATTCGGTGAACAGGAATGGCTGCAGTGATTATAATGGGAAGTATGAATAGCTATTCTTGTTAATTTCCGTATGAAACAGCACCTTTGTTACCTGTAGACTCCTACCTGGCTGTTAGTCTGGTATTGTTCAGGTAATATTTTTACTACCTTATACTAAAATATATTTGGATAATTAGAGTACTAACAAATTTTCATTTATGGTCCGTTTAGACTCAAAATACACCATGAATATTAACGTTTGAGATATAATTTTTGGTATGTGTTGATTCTTGGATATTTTATCTTCGTCGTCCTGTACTTCGTTTATTAATTCAAACTTCCCAGTTTGCGTAAAAAGGGTGAGTAGATGGAAATACCAGTTGCATAAATCACGAAGATTGATGATTCGATTGGTGCATTTAGTGTTCTTTTCTATGCAATATAAAATCATATCGATGCTGTGGGCGGCGAAGGGTGACAGATTGTTTTGGTTCAACAGCTCTTAAGGCACAGGCAACTGACATTTCCTGAATTTTTTTG